ATTTTTTACCAAAAAATGAAAAAACATTGCAAATTTAACTTCTAGAGTCTCTAATGTTCTTATAATACCATATGCATGCATATAAGCTAGCGCCAAAAGGTCCTTTGACTAAGTGATCCAAGATCATGCAAAAAAGCTAGAAATACTGATTTGATCCACTTGTTAAATAGGCTTGCCTTATGGGTCAGCCTACTATAAAAATTTTAACAATTATAAAAAGACACATTAACAATTATACAAATCAACAAGAAAAGAGCCATGCTAATTTGGTCCAGTTTTCTAATAGGCAATGCTAGTTCTTGACCAAAATTTTAAAGAAAAATGAGCAATACTAGATAGAGTAATTAGAACAAGCGTGCGTGCATGAACAAAACAAAGGAAAAGAATGAGCATGCGTGTAATTTAGTTTTCATCCCCAAAAAGCACTGCAATATTTGTCTTTTTTTTTTCAACCCATATTGTTTTCTGATACGTAAGTGCCAATTGAGCTGTCCTAGTGAAGATTTTTACAGTAAATTTTTTTTTTCAAAAATACCTAAATAGACCCATGGTTTAATTTTATTTTATGTTTTTATATAATAAAATAGATATTATTATTTAAATTATATTTAAATATTTATATTTTGTTTAAATAAATATTTATAATATATTATTCTAATAAATATTTATAAATATTTTATTAGTTATATATAATAAAATAAGTTTTATTATTTGAATTATGTTTATATTATTTAAAAATGAATAGAAATAAAAATAATATTAATTTTAAATGTTTATTAAAATTTATTTGACATATTTAAGATAATAAATAATATTTTTAGAAAACAATAATAATTATATTTTTAAAAACTAATTAAAATAATTAATAATATGTAAATTATTTTAGATAATTTTTAAAAATAATTAAAATACTTAAATAATAAGTATATTATTTTAGATAATAATGTTAATGCTTAAATTATTTATACTTAAAGAATAATAATTATAATTTTTAAAATTAAATAAATATAATAAATATTATTTTGTTTATTTATTTATTTAAATATGTAATATTAACTTAATATTTTTAAATATTAGTATGATAAAGTGATATTTTGAATAAAAATTTTATTTTAAATTTAATATTATAATTTTTAATACCCTAAATTCTAAAACTTTACTATTATAATTTTAATAAATTTTATTTGAGAATAAAAAAATTATTTTTAAAAAGTAAATAAAATATTAAATTATAAGTTAATTATTTATACTTGAGACAAATATTCTGAAATTAACGTTTTCATATTATTAAGGTAACATTGATGAAGACAAAGTACATTAATAAATATGATAATAAATTTATAACAACATTAATAATTAACTATCTCCGTAATGGTGACCACAATGAGTTATACAATTAACTATAGAAAGGGATGGTTGAGAAAACAACATACTATTGAAAATATCTTCAAAAATTAGGAGGAGTCATACAATAAGTTACCTAGACAGTTGCTTGCAATGCAACTGTGTGTTCCAAGCTTCATTTGAAAATTGAGTATACAACCAGCATACAAGGGTGTGGCTTGCTTGACGAGGGGAATGTGTTCTTCAAAAGGTTATTTTGGACCTTCTAGCCATGTATTGATGGTTTTGCCTTCTGCAAACCAATTGTTCAAGTGGATGAAACATTTTTGTATGGCAAATACAAAGGGATTTTATTAGTGGCAGTTGCGCAAGACGACCGCAACAACATAATTCTCATTACCTTTGCTGTGGTTGAAGGTGAAACTAGCGATGCATGGTTATTTTTTTTGAAAAACCTAAGAAGGTACATAACCCCGCAAGAGAGATTGTGCCTCATTTTGGATCGTCACAAGGCTATAAGAAGTGCATACTCCAAAAATGAAAGTGATTGGATAGAAAATAATTATGTCCATGTCTATTGCATTAGACACATTGCACAAAACTTCATGCGATGATTCAAAAATGTTGCACTGAAGAAAGATGTAGTCAATATGGGTAATTTTAATTTTTTACGTACTCTATATTATCATGAATATTTTATACAATTACTTAACTAGTTATATTAATTTAATTTGTAATCTTGTTTTCAGCATATGAGATGATTGAACTGAAATTTTTTTACTATTATAACATAGTAAAAGATAATAATCTTGAAGCTGTACAATGGTTGGACAACATCCCAAGGAAAAAATAGACAATGGCATGGGACAACGGACGATGCTAGGGACACATGACAACAAACCTAACGAAGTCAATTAATTCAGTCTTGAAGAAAAATAGAAACCTATCAATTTGCTCCATGGTCATGGAAAAATACATTCGTTGCAATAAGTTCTTCATTGACAAAAGCATAAAGTAGATGCAATAATTAATGTTGGACATATGTACTCAGAGGTTGCAACTAAAGCAACTCAAGATTCACAGTCAAAGGCGAACACTCATAGAGTCATCACCTTTGACAGAACAAATACTAGATTTTTAGTTGAAGAAATGCAACATCCGACAAAAATTTGACCCGTAGGAAGATTTACAGTACGGTTAGATGAAATGTTGTGTGATTGTGGCAAGTTTCAAAAAGTTCATATCCCATTCTCGTATGTACTTGCTTCATGCTTACACGCACACCACAACTTTGACATCTACATATTCCCCGTGTATACTTTATAACAAGTTTTTAAAGTATATGAAAATCAATTTGGAGAACTCCGACATGAAGATTATTGGCCAACTTACACGGGCCCAACTTTGTATCCAAATTTATAACTGAAAAGAACTTCAAATGGTTTACTCAAATCTAGTAGGATAAGAACAGATATGGACATTAGAAAACAATAAAATCAGACAAAAAATTGTTCTTATTGTCACACTCCTAGTCACACAAGAAAGACATGTCTAAACATCGCTCAAGCTTCTAGTTCCCGCCATTGATTTATGTTGTTATTATTAGTTTAAAATTTTCTTAATGTTATTTTTAATTTTATGAATGTCATTACAACATTTAAATTTTTTTGTAATTTATATTAATTCTATAATTATATATATAATATATCTACATAATATTATTTAATTATGTTTATTAATATTAATAACATATTATTTTAAATAAATAATTATGTATAAATTTTAATAAAGATTAATATTCCAAAATAAATAAATAAATTGGTTATTATTTAATATTTTTATTTATTTTATACATATATAAAATTAAATAAATTATTATTGTAATTTTTAATTTTTTTAAAAATATAATATTAAATAACCAAAAATATAATTTCAGAATATAATATTAATATCATTTTCAAAAAATCAAAATTATATTAAATAATATAATAAGAAAAAAATATTATTTATTACTTTAAATATGTCAAATAAATTTTAATAAAAATTTAAAATTAATATTATTTTTATTTTTATTCATTTTAAATAATATAAAAATATAAACATAATTCAAATAACAAAACTTATTTTATTATATATAACTAATAAAATATTTATAAATATTTATTAAAATAATATATTATAAATATTTATTTTAATAAAATATAAATATATAAATATAATTTAAATAATAATATTTATTTTATTATATAAAAACATAAAATAAAATTAAAAAAAAAAAAAGCCAACTCAGAATTCAGTTCCCTGGAACCGAATTCTGGTGGCCAAAATGCATTTACAAGATTTGGGTAATTAAATAGACCTTGGATCTATTTGGGTAATTTTTTTTTTTAATAAATTTTACTGTAAAAATCTCGTCCTAGTGGGCTTATAATCAAAATTTTATCATTGACACAAAAAAGAAGAAAACGAAGATAAAAAAAAAAATCAACAAGAAAAATGTAGAGAGAAATTTGTTTTAAATCACTCCAACAAAATGCTAAAATTATTTGTTTAAAAGTTATTGTCTATTTTTTTTGGGTCAAAGGAGTTATTGTCTCTACATCTTCGCTACTTTATTCTTTAGTCTTTTATCACCCTAAATATTAACTACTGATATCACCACTCAAGATTTCTGTCAAATTCTCAACTTATAAACCTTCTTAAGTTATTATTATTACCATTATTGAACAAATATAGAAAGAAAATTTCACAAATGACATTTCTAGGATTAGGATCTTCATGTCATCATATTATTTAAAACAATAAAAATTAAATACTGACGTAAACTTCATGATAACACATGATCATGTACTTACTAACAAAAAGTGAAATCCAAATATTCTTTTTTATTTCTTCAATTTTTCTGATGTGTCGACAGATATGCAATAAAAATTTATGTATGATAATCTTTATAAAAAATAGCAAGATATTATAAAATCTAATGCATTATTATTAAATACAATTTTCCATAAAAACTTATTTTTTTGTTTGTGCACTTTAACACATTAGAGAAACTGTTATTTCTTATAACGTCCCCCTCTCCATCACACGTGAATTTTTCTATTTTCTTTTCTGTGCAAACTCCTACTGTAAGGGTAACCAATTTCCAAGCTTAGGTGTAGTAAACGAAAATGATAATAACAAAAAGCTTTTAAGCACAAAATTTGTTGTCATGACTGTACGAAAAACGCAATAAATAATTATTTTCAAAATATAATATAAATGATTTGAATTCCTTAAAAGTGTCTATCTCAAATTACGCATGAGCCTAGGAATTGGGCATTGTAATGATGTCAAAGGTTGACCTCATACTAATAGGCCTATGCCCCTTTTTAGCCTTCTTAAGTACGTGCTTGCACCCCACAATGTGTCCACAACAAAGAAATTGAATTGCATTCTATATTAAGATTGGAATGGCATGTTTCAACATGCCTAAGAGTGCAGAGTCATACTTCGACTCTTTTTGCGTGGCTCAACTTTAATCCACAACATTTGTTATTTTCATTGAAATTCATGCATCTGCAGAAACAAAAATGATGCATGCACCTATTGTAGACAGGAAATGGGTCCAGCAATATTAACTAAACAACAAAGACACATCTATGGAGTTGACTCGTATTACCTATAATCCAAAACCAAAATGAAGCTTTCGTTTCTAATTCAAGGTCTTGCTCAACTTCCTTGAGCTAGATGGGAGCTGTTGAAATATTATTTTATCAAGTCACTTTCAACACAGAAATTCATGATGAAAATGTTCTGCAGCAACTTTGATTACACCGAGATAAATCAATGACACACGGTCAGACTTGGGGGAAAATAAGCAATTTAAAAGGAAACTCAACTACAGTACTTAGCCTGTGAGGGCAGAGTTCAGAGCACTATGGACATCAACCCCAATCTGAGCTTCAGCTTTCTCCAAATCAGTTGTGGCCGAGTTCAGCTTCTGAGTGAAATCTTGAAGACCCTTCTGGACAAGGTTCGCATCAATTTGATCCACCGGCACAGCCTCAACAGCTATTATATCAGCGACGGAGTTTGCATGGATGAATGCGAAGCCACTGCTGACAAAATACTTGCTGACATCATTACCGTCATGTACAGATAGAACACCAGGTTTCAACTCTGCAATTGTTGCTACATGTCCAGGGAGAACACCCATCTGCCCAGTTGTTGCCGGTACTATGACCATGTCAACCTGTTACACATGAAGTATGTGTCATTTCCCAAGGAAGATAAATTATGGAACTTTCTTATAGAAAACATCATTTACTAACATCCAAAACAAAAAAAAAAAAAAAGAAACAAAAAAACGATGGAATCAATCAGGTTGAAAGGACGCAGCATGAGAAAATAAATCAGACAACCAAATGTATCATTGTGAATAACTACATTGCAAAATATTTGGAAGTATCCACTCCTAATCCTAATAACCAACATTCTTTTCTAGTACGGTGGTACTGTGTCATTAATATATTTGAAACAACATATAATATTATACTAATGTAATATTAAAATTAAATATCACTCATTTTATTTGTTTACTATCAATCAATTAAAGAAATAATTATATCGAAAAATAAAATTTCTCTTCATATATGTTTGAACATGAAATATTCTAAGTCATTTTTTTAAATACAAAATACATTTAGATAAAAGAGTCGAGGGAGCAAATGAAAAAAATAGAGAAAATAAAAAAGAATAGGGCTACTGTTAAGGTGAAGAGAACAAAAAGACAATAAGATTAACGCAAGTACATAAGATTTTAATTGTGTAATGAGTGTGTTGTCTTTTCCAACAAAAAAATAAGGGCAAAAATGTAATAGAAATATTAGTAGCTATCTTTTGAAAGCTAAATACTTCTTTAGATAGCTTTTAAAAAGCTAGTTGTCTAAAGCTACAAACTCTTTTCATTTTGTATTTACCAAACAGCTTTATAAACTTATTGACCAAGTCACAAAGCTACAAGCTACCTTTACCAAGCGTAGCCTAAATTGTAGTAGGGCTTTTTGCTCCACAAAATTAGTCAGCTGTTTTATATTGACAGTTACAAGGATAAGAAATAGACGCTGGCATATTAATTCACACATAATCAGATACTGGCAAATTACATGCATTTGGTGGCAGAAAGAAATTACTTGGAGGAAAATTTCAGTTACCAATAGTTCTGATTTCTCTTTTGGTTTCAATCCTTTATTTTTTTTCTTGGACTATCAATGCTACTGCAAGCACACTTTTGCATCCACCTAAATGCTCACATATAATTAATCTTACCAGCATCACCACAAACTGCTACCACTATTTCGTACCATAATGACAGCAACCGAATCCAACAGCAAGGCTGACTGTCTTAAGCTTTAAAAGGACTGCATACAACACAATCCTGACAAAAGTGACGGACTTCATGAATTCATTTAGAAGAGTCACAGTAAGTATGATCAGACAAACCAAATTCCACGTGAATTGACATGCATGATTACATCTGTTTGATATCCAGACCTCAAAACATCTAACTCAAGATAAATAACTTTGCAGAGAAAGGATGGCGTGCTTTAGACTGAGACAGGTTCTATTGATCACATCTGCATGGATCCCAAAATGCACAAGGTTTAAGGAAAACCTTCATGCAAATTAGCAGGATTACTGCAAGCACAAACTTGAAATATAGGGTAGCATGAAACAGCATAAAACAACTACAAGAATAAAGGGATATCATGAATATTATCATGGTTAAATATTTTTATGATATCTGTCCCTCCCTTCTCAATACAAAATTTACTCTTACTAGGAGCAAATCTGGGATAAGGCGTAGTTGTTGTTTGTTGTTGTAAGAGCAAATAGTAAATGCATTAGCAGTCATCATTGAAGACATTGCTAAAGATTCATTTCGCAGTGATAAAAAAATGTATAATTGTTATTTTTTATTTTATTAGGGATAAAAACAATGCTAAAGACATGATAAAAGAAAGAGAAAAACATGCAGACTTTCTAATAACCATGCAGATGGTTTGGAAATATATTATGACATGGTAGATAATGCATCTTCCAGAATTTTATTCTGCATCACAGATTGTAGAGTACATTCCAATACTTCAAAGTTTATGGGTATCCAAAACAAAACAAATTCAAAATGGAAAAGGAAAAGCTAGAAATTGCAGGAAGAGTTTCATTTCAAGACTCAGTTCAGAAAAGAGATATTGCTAAGGCCAAGAAGCAATAATAATACATTCATACGATCTCACATTCATTTCCAAAAAAAAAAGAAAAGTTATTGAAGTCACTGCATGGTAATGTGTAATATTGAAATGTGAAAAAAAAAAGAAAAGAAAAGAAAAAAGGGCTACCCACTCAAATTTCACATCTCTATGTTTATGGTTTATCAACAACTTCTAAGCTTGATAAATTTCAAATGGAACTTACAAAGAATTCTTGATTTTCTAAACATATTTGGATAAATGAAGAGAAGGAAAAGCAAAATATAAGTCAGGAAGTTAAGAAATCCTCAATCTTTTGAGATAAAAACCAGGTAATGAAAAGACAGCTAGATCTCTCATGTGATAGATTAAGCGTAATGTACCTAGGAAAAACACCTGAAATCCAACAGCATTACTTGATCCAGGAATTCATAAAACCAGGAAACAACATTGTTTCCAAATACGAACGGAGAACAATCTCTTGTACATGAAATTCTAGATTATATTCATCTAACTGGCTAACTGCCAGGTTTCAAGAACAGCAAGGAAAATGGGATCCAAGCATTTGATTACACCAGACAAAACAACATTTACTTTGGAAACAACTAATACCACTTATTGTGCTTGGAAAAATCATAAAAAAATCAATTACCTACTTTCATTTACAAAACATAATTTCAAGCAGAAAGCACTAGAAGGTAGAAAAAGGATCACAAATTCAATTCCAATCCACAATCAAACAAAATTGAAACGCGTACAAATAAATGACCAAAATCACACAAAATGGAAAGTAGTAAAGGATCACAAATTCAATTCCAATCCACAATCAATCAAAACTAAAACACGCGTACAAATATCAGACGAAAACCACACAAAATGGAGGATAGGATCCAAAATGAGATCCCAAATTGAACTTTTCACTTCAATTACAAAAACAAATCCCATATCAAACTTTTGCATCATTTTTTAAACAATCATTCTCAGTCAATTAATAAATAAATAAAATATGAAAAAAATTTCCATCAAACCTTAAGCACGCATAATCTCATCCAATCCGATTCCACATTAGTCGGATCAACAAATTAGAAACGCAGAAACAGCAATACAAACCAAAACCAACAAAATAAAAACTACAGTACCTTCCAGAGATCTCTGGAAGCTTCCAGAGACATAATTTTAAAAAAAATCATAAAAGAAAAAGAAAAATGGGAAAGTGACCTCTTTGGCGGATAATTGAGAAGCATAGGGGAGAACGAAGTTAACGGTGAGTTTGGAAGGGAGTGTGGAAGGTGTGGGAGGACGAGGTTTCATGTAAGCCAAAGGTGTCTTCGGTGGGTCAAGGTTTGGGCTCACTTTCTTCCACGCCTCCACGAAGCTTGAATCTACGGCCGCTGCAGCCGGCACATCCGTCGAGAAGCGGTGGCGGCGAGTGGCACCGGCGAGGAGGGTAGCGGTTGCGCGGCGGAACATCGCGAGGTTAGGGTCGGATCGCTCGGTCTCGCTAGGTCGGAGAGAGAGAGAATGTAAGTGGGGTGTGCTTAGAGAGAGAGAGAGAGAGAGAAAGAGAGAGAGAGAGCGAGTGAGAAGGTGGAAACTTGAAAGAGTACTTGTGTTTGGAGCAAGTCTTGCGTTAGTTTTTTTTGGGTTTATGCATGGGTTGGGCTTAGCCCGGCCCAAAAATCACCTCTTGACCAAGATAAAAAAAGATGTGTACACCTCTCTTGACAAAAAATAAATTGTATGATATTAGTTATTATTTTTCATTAATTTCCTTTTGCCTTTAAAAAATAGTTGTTTAAGGTTACATGACACAAGAACTAAGAAATGCATTTAATAATTTTATTTTTATTACAAGTATTATGAAAATGTTAATAATTTCTATTTTGGAATTTGTTATGCAATAAATAAATATAGAAAGAAGATAGAAAACAAGTTTTGAGATAATAATTATCTTAAAGGTAAAATTGAAAAAAAAGAGAGTCTACTTTAGAATTTTAAAATGACTATTAGTTTAAGAAAAAAAATAACTAAAAAGGCTTTTTGAAAAGTTCAAGAGTCAAAAGAAAAGTCATTACTAAAGATAAATTAGTAAGTTTATTAATTAATTCTAACAAAACGATTGGATTTATTAGTAAATGTAATTTTCAATCTCTTCCTAGTTTTTACATTTTTCTTTTCTCATGGGGTGATTCTCTTAATGTTGAAAGAAGTTATCTTTTTTATTGGGAAGAGTTTTTTTTTTTGTAAGATTTTTTTTCCCCTTTTAGATTCTCTCCTTGTATTCATATTTATGTCAACTTCCATCTCAACTAGTTCAAGTTAAATAAAATAAACTGTTGTGTTTCTCTATATCTCTCATCTATACTTGACTTCAGTATGATTAACAATATATCTTCTACCCTTTAAGATTGCAAACATTTTGATAACTGAAAAATTTGAAAAATCGAAGCAGCATAGATGTGGTAAAAAGTAGCAATCCTCGTTGATACAAGCTTAGGTCATTTTGACAATCAAGAGGGAACTATTCAAAGTAGTAGATGATGACAAATGTTTAAGTATTTGATTTTGGAGTTTTTTTTAATGTTATTTGAAATCAAAATTATGTTTAGTTTGGGTTTATTTATAGCAAGATGACTTGTATTTATTTGTCTATCTTAGATGATTAGTTTTATTACTCATTAGGGATCTGAGATCCTTGGATTTATAAGTGTCTATCTTAGATGATTAAGTGTGGAATGTGTATACATTTGGATGAATACCCTTGTCTATAACTTTATCGAATAATGCTATTGCCTGCTCTAAATGATGGTTTTTGAATAATGCGTCTGGTAGGGAACTGTAGATAATTATATTAGCACGTTGACCCTGTTATTCATCTCATCAATAAGCTCCCAAACATAAGAAATTCTTCCTGATTTGCAGGAACCATCAATAAGAGAATGAATGTCTTCAAAGAGAAAACCGTGGCCTCATCCATCATTTTAATCTTGCATAATCCATTAATCATTATGCTGTAGCTATGCAAATCAGGGGTTAATCCATTTTGAATCATGCTGTTGAATACATATTTGGCCTTCGTTAACTGAGATATAGCCATCCATTAAATTACTGTAAATAAAAACATCAGGTTTCGCACCTTCATCTTTTATCATCACAGCTAAGACATTTCTAGCTACTCTCACATTTCCTTCCTTACACAGACCAATATGCTGTAGGTGTAAACATCTGGACTGATTCTTTTCAACAGCATTTCATTGCACAAATCAACTGCTCACTTGACCCAAAAGGAAAAAGCCATACATTAGACTATTGTAAGTGATAACATTGGGATTAATTCCCTTGACAACCATTTCTAAAAACAAGTCACAAGCCTCAGTCAAAAGTTTATCTTTACATAGCCTATCAATGATTGTACTGTACATTACCACACCAGGCTGAATCATTTGCCCTTCAATCTTTCTAACTTGTTTCTCCCATTTTACATAATCCATTGATCTCGTAACTAACTTGGTTCATCTGAAATCTTTGAGCTACCATCTTGTCATGCAAATGCAGTGCTCTTCTAACATTGCCATCAAGACAGAGACCATTCATGAGTGTATTGAAAGTTACTGTATCTGGCTATAACCCAATATCTTGGCCAATACGGAAAAAGCTAAGGTCATATGAAGCAGTTGGCATAAACAATTGATGAGAATGTTAGAGGTACAAATGTCTGGCTCAATTCCCTTGAATCCCAATCGTTGAAAAAGGGAAATGGCAGTGTGGAATTGCTTTTTCTTAGCGAGGTACCCCAAAATCTTGGTAAATTGAATGATGGATGGGGGAGGACGGGTATTGAGCATGCGATTGAACGAGGCAACGACATCATCAACATCAACATAGTGAATGAATCGGGTTTGGAGTGAGGAAGAAGGAAAGCAGAGAAGAAAAGGAGGAAACTTGGGAACAGAGAGACGGAGAGAAGAGCTTAACCTTGACAATGACATTGGGAATATCAAAGTCGGAGTGTTTTGATGTAGGACCCTGTAAAGAATAAGATAGGAGCCGTTGAAATTCTGTTGTAACTAACCTGTTATAAATAACAGATTCAGCTAGGATCCATTCATTCAGTTTTGTAAATCATTTCTTGTAATATCATTCTTTCAATAAAAATCAGTTCGGTTGCCATTCTTCCATTGTAGACCCTACAATTCTTAGCTTTCCTTCGTGTTTTGAGTATCACCTAGATTAGCTACAACAATTGGTATCAGATTTTACCTTCCAACCACAATTCCGCAATGGCCGACAACACTCGTGCACAATCCCTTGTTCGCGAAGCTGAAGAACGCATCAACGCAAAGCTTGGAGATCACGACCTTCATCTAAATGTGAAAATTGATACGTTGGATGCGAAGATCGATGGCATGGAGGAACGTCTCAGGACTGCGATCGAAGAACAAATCATGGCATTAGGAACAGCTTTACAGGCGCCACCTAGGGATTCTCCTCGACATTCTTTTTCTGCTAATCTGGGTAACAATTCTCGACCCTATTCATGCAATACTAGACTCGCACGCTTAGATTTCGCAAGATTTAATGGCGATGGAATCAAGAATTGGATTATTCAATGTGAAACGTTCTTCTCTATTGATCATACTCCTGTTGAATACAAAGTTCGATTAGCGGTGGTTCACTTCGAGGGAAAAGCCCTTCTTTGGTATAGTGCTTATGTTAAGAACATTGGCCTCGAGAATCTGCCTTTCTGGGAAGATTTCACCGACGTTCTGATAAATCGTTTCGGAGATGTGTGTGAAGACCCAATGGCTGAGCTAATGCAGCTAAGACAAAAAGGATCAGTTACAGATTATCATGAGGAGTTTGATGGAATAGTTTCCAGGGTGAAATTATCAGAACCTAATCAACTCAGTTGCTTTTTAGGGGGCTTAAAACAGGATATCCAAATGATGGTGAGGATGTTTCAACCCACATCTGTTATGAAAGCCTTTTCTTTGGCTAAAATGTATGAAAATGCTCACTCAGCCCCTTCGCAACAGAAATCATTTTCCAAACCATTTAAGCCAACAATTACCCAAAAACCACCATTATTACCTACACCCTTAAAATCAGCAGAACATGCTAAGCCAAAAACACACACCACCAG